GCAGTAGCAGCAGTAGTAGCAGAAGCAGCAGTAGCAGCAGTAGTAGTAGAAGGAGGGCAGTGCGGCTCAGTAGGGCGGCGCGGCTCGGTAGGGCTGCGCGGCTCAGTAGGGCGGCGCGGCTCGGCTGGGCGGCGCGGCTCGGCTGGGCGGCGCGGCTCGGCGGGGCTGCGCGGCTCGAAGGAGCGGCGCGGCTCGGCTGGGCGGCGCGGTTGCTTACCAGGGGCGGGTGCAGGGCAGGGCCGCAGCTGGTGGTGAGGTCAGGGCCGCGACTGGGGCGGCAGCAGGGCAGGGCCGCGACTTGGCGGCGGAAGGGCAGGGCCGCGGCTGGGGCGGCCGAAGGGCAGGGCCGCGACGCGTCGGCGGCAGAGCAGGGCCGCGGCTGGGCGGCGGTAGGTCAGGGCCGCGACGAGCAGCGGCAGGGCAGAGACCGCGGCGGGCGGCAAGGTCAGGGCCGCAACGAGGGGCGGCAGGGTAGGGCCGCGACGGGCGGTGAGGCACCTAGCAACCCTAAACCCTAAGTTTGACAATGACTACATCAGTCACCTAGCAACCCTGCAGCTAGCCTGGTTGACCGCCAGCACAGCTCGGTCGACCGCCTGCCAGCGTTGAGTAGAGGAGCCGCGCCAGCACTGCAGAAGGGCGACCTGCCAACAGAGCAGGTCGACGGCGTGCCAACGCTGCAGCAGAGCGGCTGTCCAGCATTGCCCCGTAGAACACAGCAGTGCGCACGCTCACAGGTGCACGCAGACGATTGGCTCGACTTGCCTCATTGGGCATCCGTCGGCTGTTGTCTGCGCCTGACGAGCCACATCGACTTCGGGATACCAGCCCGCAGTCGCCTGCGCCATCGCGACCTCGACGACGTTCGCGTGCCTCCGCAGAACTCGTCGAGCAGGTTACCCGGTCGACCTGGTCGACCACCAGGTGCTTCCAGTCGACTACCACTGCCTCTGGTCGACCACCAGGTCCCTCTGGTCGACCACCTGGTGCCCCTGGTCGACCACAGTTCCCGTCGAGCTACCCCCTGGTCGACGGACCCCTTCTGTCGACCAGAACCGTCAGCGGTTGTCGCCGAGCTCCCCTCGTCGACCGCTGCTCACTTGTTAGGTCGACGGACTGCTCCGTCGACCTCCCGATCGAACTGCAGGTCGACAGACTGTTCCCGGTCGAGCTGCAGATCGACAGACTGCTCCCGGTCGAGCTGCATGTCGACGGAGACCCCCCGGTCGAGCTGCAGGTTGACGGAGACCTCCCGATCGAACTGCCCCTCCTGGTCGACGGCCCACCTGTCGCCCAGACCAGTCAGTTGCAGCTGTCGAGCTCCCTGGTCGACAGCAGCACCACAGCGGTCCCCTGCAGCTCGACGATGCCTGTCGAGCAGCTCTCCAACTGTGAACGGTCGGCTTCTACTCCCGTACATCCGACCAAGTCGTCGGCGTTGCCCAAGCGAGGGCAGGGCCTACACTCCATTCCTGTTAACAGCGATAACATTTCTGGAGTCGCACGGGACCAACGAAGGGGTTTCGCATGTGCTTGAAAAATGTAACCCTTCGTATACAACGTCGTGCACTGACTAAGCGACGAGGATCGACGGCGATCGATCGTGATTGTCACTCTTGGCTCGAAGTCTCACATCGCGCCCTTCAATCTCACAATCGATATGGGCCCTACGCTATATCGATCGGGACCGGCGTAGGTGACCGAATCGTGGCCATAATATTTACTGTACACTCGCAAACATCGGCGAATACTAATTACCTTGTTGATCACGAGGCTACAATGCTACACCCAGCGTGCAATACCGATTTTCCAGCAGATCTATCCGCTTCAGGTGACGCGTGGTGTGTCACCCTTCCTTTGTTCGCAGCCCATCTATCAATGTTCAAGCTGGTAAGTAATGGTTGAAAGCGGTGAAGCTTGCAATCCGCCCTACTATGTCAACCATGCCAAATTCATATAGTCTTCCTGATTGTCAGCCATGCCTGCCATAGCAGCGTCTCCCCGCGTCTACTTCTCATATCTTGTCGCGTTGCTGCGAAAACTTTCTCTAACCGTTTAGGCTACTTTCGTCACTCCGACCGATCAAGCCGCTCCTGGAGCCGCCTATCACGGGGCTGCTTGTATCGGCGCCCGCGACGATGGCGCCCAGCCGTAGCCGCCATGGCGGCCGAGCCGCGAGGGGTCAATTTTTGCGGACTCCTCATTGGAACGCAAATCCCTTGGTGAATTCTTGTCGTTCTGGGAGTAGCGAACGCTCTGTCCGGCCAGTAGTGGTTGTGGCGACGGCGATTGCGAACTGCTCCACGGGGACCCCACGTGGCGAGACACGCTGGCGGGCCGACACGTAGCGCATGGAGGGCAGAGCAGTGCCGGCAGTGCTTGGAGGGGAAGTCCTTGGCTGATCATATGCGCAGGACTAGAGAGGTCGGGAATGAAGGAATTATACCGGAGGTCGTTGCGATAGCAAGAGAGTTTTAGCTATGACAACGGTGTTGCGCTAGCATTCCGATAGCAATTGCTACTAGGATTTCTAGTAGCATTCGGAAATATTAGAATTGTAATATGGTAGATACAAAAGCAAACACACATATACATATACATATATATATGGTACGGGACAGTTTCACAAAGTTGCGTGGCGCTGCGATTTACCCAACCACAAGAGAGTGTCGTGCGGGTGGGAGAACGCACCCCGATGAACTCCAAACCCAATTCAGCAACGGAGTCTCGCTTACGTGCATGCCCCTCCACCAACACAGCAAGGATTGGCGTGACTCACAATGAAGCACCAAAGACTCCCACAGACTCACGCCTCCTCACACCGACTTCTGCGCAGCTGTTCGTAGTCACACTTGATCCACTGTGATCGTCACTGAAGCATAGTGACGGTGCCGGGATGCTATAAGTCTTGGTCGTCACCTTGTCGACCTGCGAAGTCAATCACTTCGTGAGGGCCCTTGCTGTCGTAGGGCCCTCTAACACTCCCCTGTCATACTACATCAAGGCCCTTTATAATCACATGGCGTACATACACACATGCACACCGAAAAGGGACTCATCACACAAACACACAACATAGCAACACTCTCACAGTGCAAGCTGGATGCCCTTATCCTGTCGAAACACACACCGCACCAACCATGAATAGGCCATGGCACATCCCCATCATGGAGTGTCTAGGTGTCACTCCCTTCACTCGAGAGCCTCACCTGTCCCACAGCGTCAAAACAACGGCAGAAGGCAGGGAAATGCAACACCTTCGTCAGGTAACCAGCCGGTTGCTCGCTCGTAGGGACGTATTGCAGCTGCAACTTCCTGCGGTTGACCATGTGCTGCAGCCACATGTTGCGACGCTCCATGTGCTTGAGGCTCCCCTTAAACCCCATGCCACCTGCCACTGCAATGGCGGAGGAGTTGTCCACGAAGAGGGTAGTGGGCTTCTCACTCCTAAGCAATTGAAACTCTGCCAGCAAGAAGCGCAGCATGTGCGGCTCCTTCCCAGCCTCCTCAGCAGCAATGAACTTAGACTCAGTGGAGGAGAGGGTGATGCAACGAATCCTCTGACTCGCCCAGGAGACAGCTGCACCTCCGAACACGAAGACATAGCCATCCGTGCCGCTCCTGTTCTACTTGACTCCCGCATCATCCGCGTCGGTGTAGACCAAGGACTCCGGCCCACCACCAAACTCCAGCGCCACAACTCCACTCCCAACCAAGTACGCCAAGCACCAGTCCAACTCCTTCCTGTGCCGATCACTCCCCACAATTTTGCACGACCCCAGCTTGCTGCAGGTGAAGGAAATGTCAGGGCGGATGGTACAGGCCGCGAACTTCAAGGATCCCACCTTCTGCCTGTACTCCTCCTCCTGTTGAGACTGTCATCCCACATCCTCGAAGGTCTGCGCACTGAAAGGGTCAGAGGAGATAGTGGTGCGAGGCACTCGCATCGGCTATTGAACTTATCCACATAGGCCACCTGGTGCAGCCACAACCTCCTCGTAGGCCTGTCCCGATTCAGCTGCAACCCCAGATACTTATCAATAGGGCTAATCTCCTGTAGCTAAAACGCACTCTGCAGCAGCTCACGCAGCTCCCCCAGCATGCCCTGACTGCGGCTGGCAGCAAGCAAATCATCCACATACACCAGCAGCCAGCACATCTCCCCCTCAGCAACACTCTTGAAGTACAAAGCCTAATCCATTTGGTTCTTCTTCCATCCAGCCCCAAGCAACACCCCATCCAAGGCCTCACTACAGCATAGGGCTCTGCTTGAGCCCAAATAGACTCTTCAGCAACTTAGAGACACATGGAGTCCCATCCTCGTAGTAGCTCGGCTGCTCCATGTAAAGGTCTTGGTCCAGCACACCATGGAGGAACGTGTTCTTCACATCTAGCTGCGTGAGATCCAAATTGAGTGCAGCTGCGATTGCTAGAAGCACACACGCCGTCACATAGCTTCCCACAGGGGCGTACGTCTCGTCATAGTCCTCCCCTGCCACCTGTGTGAACCCCTTCACTACCAGCCTCGCCTTCTCACGCTCCACTGTCCCATCCGTCGGAACTTGGTGTTTATAATACAGCGGTTCTTCATCACATTCACCCCTGGCGGTCGCGGAACCATCTCCCACGTCCCCTACTCGACCAAGCTCCGCATCTCCTCATCCATCAACTCCTTCACCATATTTCCCTTCCAGCAGCCCAAGGCCTCCTTCATTGTCATCTTCGCTATATCCCACTGTCGCTCAGGGTCAGCTACCTCGTCCGGGTCCAGGTCAGTCCAAACCCGCCGGCTCAACTACTACTGCCCAAGCGTATCGAACCGGCGAGACACCATGAGTGATGCGAGTGGAGCGACGTGGTGCAGTGATCGTCCCAAAAACCAACACTCGACCACCATCTCCAATTCCCCATATCTCCTGCTCCCCCGTCTACGGCTCCCCTGTCTGCTGACCCACTATCAGCTGCTCCCCAAAGTGCTCCTCCCCTGTCTACTGAACCCCTCACTGCTTCTCCCCACTCTGCTGCTGCCCTGTCTGCTGCTCCACTGTCAGCTGCCCCCCACTCTGCTGCACTCTATCCATACTGCTCTCTTCCCCAAGCTGCTCAGTCACAAGGCGCTGCTCGTCGGTGATCACCACAGAAGGCGACACCACTGTCCCCCCCTCACCAATGGGCGGCGCTATGGAAGACGAAGAGGAGGACAGGGAAGATGCAGTGTGGAGTGGGAGAAGAGATCACAGGAGAAGGAGGGGAAGCCAAGGAGGGCGGTGAGGGGGTAGGCGGGGCAGGAGGGATAACAGGAGGATACACTCTATGTGGATGTGAGGTGGGAACTAAGGTGGGACATAGGGCATAGCAGGAGGTGCGACCACTTTCTCCTCCTCCACCTCCTCCTCAAAGTACCTTGCAAGAGAGAAGGAAGGGGCTCGTAGGGCATCGGACGCCCCGCATGCTCCTGCTAATGCCAAGCCTTCCATCCTGCTAAGGACTCCCTTCCATCCTGCTAAGGGTCTCATGAAAAAAGTGCTTCCATAGTGGTGATGAGGCGTTTGGACTCGATGTCCAGCACGTACTGCAAGCCCTTGCTCGTTGTCGACGCCCCCAAGTGCAATCCCAAGCGAGCCTTACGCGCTAGCTTCCCCCCACGATGCGACTGCGGCACCATGTACCGCAGCATGCAGCCCTAGACATGCACCATACTGGCATCGGGTTTGCGTCGAAAGGCGAGCTTGTACGGCATCACTCGTGAGGGTAGAGAAGCGTGTTCCACACGGTTGCGTTTCCAGACGGCCTGCGCTAGCGCCAAGTGCCACCAATGATGCTGCACGCCCTTGTGCAGCAACATCGTCCGCACAGCCTCCACAATGCTGCGCATCTCCCTCTCGGCCATCCCGTTCTGCTACGGTGTGTACGGGCACGTAAGTTCGTTGGTGATGCCCTTCTTGTCGAGGAAGAGCGTGAAGTTGTGATCCAGGTATTCGCCTCCCCAATCAGTGCGAGGCGCCTTCACCGTTGTCTTGCACTGCCGCTCTGCCATCGGGAGCCAATTCTGGAACGCCGCCAGAGCATCGCCTTTCTGAGCCAAAGGGTAGGCCCAGACATACCGCGTCTTGCGATCCTTCTGCACCAGGAAATAACGGCTGTCGTCTTTAGCTGCTTCACGAAAAGGGTCACACATGTCAGCATGCACCGCCCCAAGTAGCTCATCCTCCTCGTCGCCCACGGAAGGAAAGGTATGATGAGCGATCTTCCCCCCAACACAGGAGACACAAGGCATGCCTGGATTGCCCCCCCTCTCCAGCTTCAAGCCCTTTACTGGCCCGTGAGCCGCAGTACCCTAGATGGCGTCAACACCAATGTGTGCGAGACGCGCATGCCACATGCCCACCATAGATCGCATGCCCGCCAACGTACGAAGGGCCACCATTTCACCTCCCTGCTGCAGCAACGACCATGGCTAGAAGTTCGTGCAAAGACACGCCTCTTGAACTCCACACGACCAAGAAGCGATCCATCTGGTGCCCGAAGCAGAGTCACGTCTCCTGCATCTAGCAGCTCCACGCCACAATCCCGCAGCTGACCAGCAGAGAGGAGGCTCGCCTGCAATCCAGGTACGTACAGCACATCCGGCACCAAGACCCGCCTTCCCCCTCTCCAAGAAGAGCAATTGTGCCTCGCCCCTGGACCTCCTGAATAGCGTCGTTGATTCCTCAAACCTGTGTGATACCGCCGCCACTGTTCATCTCCACAAAGGCAGGTCGATCTTCCGTAAGGTGATGGGAGCATCCACTGTCCAGCAGCACGACACTCGGGCTCGCCTTTACAGGAGCTGCAACAGCCAGTAAGCCCTCCCCGGCCTCAGGCTCCAAAGCAACGGGAGGAGGATGCTCTACAACGGGCTTCACCATCGCACATGATGACTGCCCGCTCCCCTTAGAGCCATCACCCTCCTTGTCGCTCGCGCTGCTGCCTCCAGAGCCCTCTCCACATTTGTCTACCTCCTTATTTGCCCGCTTCGAGCAATGCTTAGCTACATGCCCCGTCTTGCCACACACGTACCAATTCTCCTTGATACCCCCTTCCCCCCCATCGGTTGGCCCCCCTTAGCCCCTTCCCCCTTCTCCCCTACTTCACCAACCCCACCACTATGCTTAGGCTGCTGCTGTTGTACCGTAGTGGGAGGGGATGGGGATGAAGTCCGATGAAATTGGGGCTTACCCTTCTTGGTAAACACTTGGTTCGCCTGGGAAAGAAAGTGGTCCTTCCGTCCCTCCGCCGCCAACGTACACTCCTCCTCGTTGATATAACTGACGAGGGTGCCCTTGTCCAACTCCTAACGCACTAGTGGCAGCTTCAGCATCCAGCGTAAGAGGTTAAACTGCTGCGGCAACACCTTTACGACGATAGTGATGTACGACACCTGCGAGTAATCTACACCGGCCACGGTTGCAATAGGATGTGGCGGACTCGTGCTCTCCTATCTCGAGGTTAGTGAGCGCCTGCTCTAACTGACCTATGTACAAATGCCATGTACGTGCGCATGATAAACTGCCATGCTGAAAGCCGGCATATACCTTCAAGCGACAGGCCTTGAGGGCGATCTGTACTGAGGGGGAGCATCAACGGGAAATGGTGGTGAACGTCAATAGCTGTGCTGTGCGAAACTGAGTGAGTGCAGGCATGCGCTTGGGGAATGGGGGTGGAACCATCCATGAATCGCTTCAGCTGAGCGATCTCAAGCTGCGGCTCGATCGATTCTGTCCACGTCGACAGGTGGTGACGTTCTTCTAACGACCTAGGCACGACGATCTTGTCTGAAGTGAATTTGAATTAGCCATAATTTGGGTGCTATTCCCCCGTCCCTCGCCATTGATCCTCTCGGGGTAACACCGGGCATAGCCTCACTATCGAACCCCTCAACATTTCCTCCTCCAGCAACGCTCCGCTGTCCTACATTCTCACCATTTTGTGACGCCGCTGCTCGATGAACACACTCATGTACACCGACGACGCTAGCTGGACTAAAACGATCCGGCCCTCGCAGGACTCCACGCGGCACCATTCTATCAAGCTCCTCGTCATTGCTATCCCCATCGTCGCTAACCATTGCCCACGCACTAGTTACTCCCGCCGGTTGCTCAACATTCTCTACACGAGGTGAGATATGATCGCAACGCTGATGAGAGCGTAGTCCCTCCAACATGAGCTCGTAGTCCGTTGTTCTTAGCCCACCACGAGAATGACGGGCCACGAGATCATCCTATAGTGTGTGCCAACTACCGGCCTCAACGTTCGCCTCCTCCATACTCATCCTCAACGACGTCTCCAAAAGGTACCACCAATCAAATATATTGTCCTTGGTTAAAATCCCTCGTTTCGAGGTCGTCTTGGTTTATATTGGAGAGAAATTAAAGAAAGTTCAACTTGAATTTCCTAGGAGCCCTTTATTATCGTCGCAATGATCAAGGCGGGTATACGAGCGCTAGTACTAACGACAACAAAAAGTTATGCGTGTTCATTCCACGCTCACCGCACCATGAAGGAATATACTGGAGAGTTGTGCGATAGCGAGAAAGCTTTAGCTATCACGACAGTGTTGCACTAGCGTTCCGGTAGCAATTGCCTCTAGGATTCCAAGTAGAATCTGAAGAGAGTAGAAATTGTAATAATGTGATTCATACAAGCAAACACACAAACATATATAGGCAAGCAAGGGTATAGAAAAGGTTGCGTGGCGCTGCGAGTAGCCCAACAACCACACGAAACTACTGTGCGGGTGGGAGAACGCGCCCCGCACAATTCCAACCCAACTCGGCACCGAAATGCTATGCCATGCACGCCACTCCAGCCAACACACCTAGGGAGTGGCGTGACTCACAAGGAAGCACATATGACTCCCACGGACTCACGCCTCCCTGCGCCGACTCCTACACAGCTGCTCGTAATCGCACTCGGTCAACACATGACCGTCAACAAATTGTCGTGTCGGTGCCGCAGTGCAGCAGTCAGTCACTAGCTTGCCGAGTCAAAGGTCGTCGAGGGCTTTTGTTGTCGTGGGACCCTCTAACAGTTCTCACCGTAAAGGGGACGTGGAGGTAGAGGCAGTGGAGGTGGAGGAGGTGGCGGAGGCAGTGGGTCGCCTGGAGGAGCTGACGTTGTAGGAGGTGCGCGGTCAGGTGGTGCGTCTAGAGGAGGAGCTGGTCCTGGTGGGGGTTTGGTGCAGCAGCAGTAGCAACAGCCGCATCAGTAGTAGCAACAGGCGCAGCAGTAGCAACAGCAGTTGCACTAACAACAGCGACAGTCCCAGCAGCTGGAGAAGTTCCAGCAGCCGGAGCCGTAGCAGTTTCAGCCGTGGGTCCCGCCTCAGTAACAGCAGCAACAATGGGGCTCTATCAGCCCCAGGAGCAAAGGCCGCGACCGTGGGTCCTGCCAGGACATGATCCAGACTGGACCACATGCCCACTACGTATGCGGCCGTGGTGACCACCTTGCTGCGCGGTGCTTTAGCTGCCTCACCGACCTCTACCGCGCCCGTTACGGCCCTACGGCGCAGATTCCGTACTGGACTGCACTGCGTTGCCATGGGTTGCTATGGATATGTCTGCTATACATGATACTTTGTTTTCTGCCCCTGGTATGTATGCTTCTGACGATAGTGTTGCTGGACCTTATTGTCAATGGGAGTTGTGTGTTGGCCACGTCCTCGTTTGGGCGGAGCCGACTTCGTGGTCGGGTGTGAGGGGAGTAGCCAACCTACAGCAGTGGGCGAGCTGGTTGACGAGGAGGTCGACCTGCACGGGGGCCACTGCACGGGCGCCGACTTCAGGGTGGCGCCGACTTCAGGGAGGTCGACCTGGGAAGTCGACATACGGAGGCCGTCGACTTGGTGATGCCGACTTCGGGTAGCCGACTTGGGTGGTCGGCTGACAACTGCGCTGGTCGACGTGGAGCTGGTCGACCGGGAGTGACGTCGACCTGGAGCTGGTCGACCAGGGGTGTGGTTGACCTGGTGAGGTCGACTTGGGGTGGTCGTTGACTTGGGAGGTCGACGGACACATACAGGAGCAGCTGGTCGACGTGGTTGCCCAGTCGACCAGGTTACCTGGGTGACGAGGTTCTGCGGAGGAGTGCGACGGTCGCCCAGGCGAAGTTGGCGAGTCCGACCTCGGTGGTGGTATCCCGAGGTCGACGTGGCTGATCAGATGCAGTCGTCAGCGCCAGGTTGACTAGGTGTGTGCGCTGTGCAGGTGACGAGGCTCAGCACGCCAATCATCTGCGAGCACCTGCGAAGCTGGTGCGATGCTGTACTGCGGGAGCAACGCTGGCACGCCGTCGACCTGCTGCGTTGGCACGCCGTCGACTTTGCACTGCTGGAGCGCGGTCGACCAAGTCGTGCTGGAACGCGGTCGACCATGCTGCGCTGGCAGTCGACCGACT